AGCAGGGGAGGGCAGTTAGGGGTGACCAGGCCTGCAGGGGAGGGAAGTTAAGGGCAACTAGGTCTGCAGGGGAGGGCAGTTGGGGGTGACCAGGCTTGCAGGGGAGGGCAGTTAAGGGCAAACAGGTCTGCAGGGGAGGGCAGTTGGGGGGGACCAGGCCAGCAGGGGAGGGCAGGTTGGGGCAATTGGGCTGGCAGGGGAGTGGTTAAGGGGCCGCTTCCATTCTACAACTTCAGCCTTGGGTCCAAAGTAAACACAGAAATACAAGGACTCATTAATCCAAGAAAGTGAGGCAGGAACTGGGAAGAAAGTGAAGCAAGGACTGGGAGGAAAGTGATGTAGGGACTGGGAGGAGGCACAATGGCAGTTCAAGGTGGCACAGTAATACATAAACCAGGGTCCTGCAACTCTTGTGACTTTAAGCCTCGCTTACTATCTCGCAAGAGTACTTCATTAAGAAGTCTGTAGCTTAATTTTTGGAAACCTCCCTAACTGGCCCTCAAATTATGCAAATGAACCCTCTATAATGCAAAGGTCCTCTTCTGAAAAAAGGATTTTGGGCCCAAGAAGATAAGACAGCTCTGTGAGTGAGCATGTTAAAGTGTGTCTAAGTTGTCTTTGGGAAAAATGAATCTTAGCTAAGGACGAAACGAGACTGTGGAAGGAATGGTGTGGTATTTTATCTGTTTTTGTTGGAGCCTTTTACTGGTAGGGCTCATCAGCTATAAAGTACAAACAAAACTGGAGCAAGGTTATGAAAAAAAGAGCATTTGTTATAAGAATACAGAGGTGTTTCACAGAACCCCAGAGCAGGGTAGCATCTGAGGCCCTGAACAGAGTGGAAATAGGAGCTGGAACCCTTTTCTGGCTTTTTTATTTTTATTTTTTTACATTATTTACTTGATTTTAATTGCTTCAAATTCATTAGTGCAAAAATAGTAATAACATACTATGGGGTTCATACAGTATTTAGAATTATTATTAGTCCTTAATTGATAACAATAACAAATTATGGGAGAGCAGAAAAGAATACATTTTTAAAAATAATTCAATGCTTTTAAATTTTTATTTATTTAACTGTGTCTTTATTGTTGAAAGTACTGCAGATGTCCTCTTCCCCCTGCAGTGGACGCCCTCCCTCTGCCCCGCCTCCTCTTCCCCCCTCGCCCCTCCCAGGCCTTCCTGCACTGTTGTCTGTGTGATGGGCCCTGCACCATGCGCACGTGTTCTTTGGTTAGTCTCTTGTGGGAGCACTTCCTCCTGAGACTTTCTTGCTTTCTTGCAGCTGATCACCACTCTGCTTCATTCTTTGCTTCACTGCGGCCATCTTTGTTTCCGTGTCAATTTTTTAGTCATTTAAAAATTTTCCTCGTTTTTATGATGCTTTGACATCTGGCAGTTAACCCCAATCTATATAAATTCTTTTCTTTTTTAAAAAAATATATATTTTTTATTGATTTCAGAGAGGAAGGGAGAGGGAGTGAGAGAAATATCAATGATAAGTGAGAAATATTGATCGACTGCCTCCTGCACACAGCTTACTGGGGATAGAGCCCACAACCCGGGCATGTGTCCTTGACCAGAATCTAACCTGGGACCTTTCAGTTCACAGGCCAACACTCTATTCACTGAGCCAAACCTGCTAGGGCTAGACTTTATTTTTGAGAAGTTTTAGGTTTAATAAAAAATTAGTGTTAAGTAAAGAGTTCCTATATACTCCCTCCAATTTCCCACAAGTATTAACAGCTTGCATCAATGTCATTCCCCTGATAACAATGATGAGCCAATATTGATACATTATTATTGACTAAAGTTCACAGATTACATTAGGGCTCACTCTATGTATTGTACTTTCTATGGGTTTTGATAAATGTGTAATGGTCCATATCCACCCTGCAGGTACCATACAGTGTAGTTTCACTGCCCTAAAATTTCCCTGTGTTGCACCTGTTCATCTCTCCTTTCCTTCCTCTAAACACCTGGCAATCACTGACCTTTCTACTACCTCTATTGTTTTGCTTTTTCCAGGATGTCATATATTTGGAATCATTAAGTATGTAGTCTTTTCAGATTGGTTTATTTCACTTAGCAATATGCATTTAAGGTTCCTCCATGGTTTTTTTTGTAGCTTGATAGCACATTTCTTTTTTAAAAATTTGTCTTTCCACAGGCTTACCAATTACTATTTTCAAAGAAAAAATTGTGGTGTTATTTCTCTGCTTAAAAAAAAGAAAATATACATAAGGCAGAGAGAAAAGGGAGGGGGGAAGGATAATAAACTTAAATAACAGGAAGGTGGAGACTCTGTATGACAGAGTTGGAAATACAGAATGTGGGTAATAGTCTCCAACTAGAAAGAAAATAAAAATGTAGTAGAAAACCCCCCATTCAATCATATGACATAAGCCTATTAAAATGGAAATGGGAATATATGTTAGTCACGATATTTAGAAAACCTGAAATATAGGCATTAGACATATTCGAAGAAAACCATAACCCTAGTGAAGGACATAAAGAAAGATCTAAACACATAGATAATCATATTCTACTATTGGGTAGGAAGATTTAATTTAATGAAACTGCCAATTCTCCCAGTATGTAAGTTTAATGCCATCCCAACTAGAACAGAAACTGGGTTTGAAAGGGCGAGGGCTACGCCCTCCATCTTGCCCTGAATCCTCCATTTTTGGGCAGCAGCCATGTGCTCAGCATGTCATTCTGTCATCCCAGATTTTTGTCCAGAAGCACCTAGGCTCCTCATACACCTGGATGGGCCTCAGTGATCCTGAAGGAGCCTGGAAATGGGTGGATGGAACCAACTACGAGACCAACTTCAAGTGAGTACATTTGCTTTCTGTGCTCTTCCTCCCGCTTCAGCTCTGCTCCTCGAGGATCTGACCTACAGCCTCTTCTCCCCACCCCCATTCTGTTCCATCTGACTTTCCCAACTTGCTGTTGCCTTTCCCCCTCAGGAACTGGAAGCCGGGCCAGCCAGATGACTGGGAGGGGCACGGGTGCATTGACGAGGTGGGGGAGCCGAGCTAGCTCGAATAAAGACTCTTATGCTTTTGCATCGGACCTGGCTGGCTCCCTGGTGTGGTTTCTTGGGGATCCTGAAATCTGGGCATAACAGATTCTCTTTTTTAAACTAAACTTCCATTTTGAAATATAGATTCACATAGAGGTTGAAAAAACAGCACAGAGTTCCCTAGCACCCTTCCCCAGTTTCCTCCAATAGTGACACGTGACATAGTCTTAGTATAATTACTGGAACCAGAAAAGTGAGATTGGAATAAGTCACAGTGATGGCGAACCTATGACACATGAGTCAGAGGTGACATGCGAACTCATTTTTTTGGTTGATTTTTCTTTGTTAAATGGCATTTAAATATATAAAATAAATATCAAAAATATGAATCTTTGTTTTACTATGGTTGCAAATATCAAAAAATTCTATATGTGACATGGCACCAGAGTTAAGTTAGGGTTTTCCAAAATGCTGACACGCCGAGCTCAAAAGGTTCGCCATCACTGGCATAAGACTATTAACTAGAGACCTTATTTGGATTTCACCAGTTTTGAAATGCACTCTTTTGTTTGTGTGCTTGCTTTTCATGTATAGTTCTAGACATGTTATCACAGGTATAGACTAAAGTAACCACAGTCAGGGTACAGAACGCAGACCAC